AAAATGTTAACATGACCCATTCACAGTCACAGTGTCAGGTATTAAACACTGATTGTTCATACTTATACAACTAGCTAACCAATCCATCATGGCTCAGGAGAATAATATAAACTGTCTCTGAATTAATAATTCCCATCTGACCATGTGCAAAACAGCTTCTTGGCACATCAATACCTGCTGGGAAGGAGACTTGCTTATCTCTTTGAGGTGTTACCTGACATTCACCAGACTAAACTTCATTTCTATTCCGTAGCCACATTTTAAGTCAGACCACCTGGAATATCTCCAAACTTGGTGAAAATTCAAATAAAACTTTCTTTTACATTCCTATAGCAATGGACAAAAATTAAGACATCCTTATTTGCCCTTATGATTCTTCTTCCCTCTCAGGAATCCAGTACTTTATATACCTTATTGTAGTTCTAAACAACGTGGACAGTTTGATGTGTTTTTACATTGCAGGAATACATTTGTATAATTCCTGTTTTTCTCACACTCATGTAATGAGTCATTTAACCAACATTAATTTTAGAAAGTAAACCTTTGGAGTTAAAAAAAAAATACTCTAGTCATTTCAGTCTTCTTCCAGAGGAAAAGAGAAAAGCATTGGAGTGAACAAAAAAGCCTCATAATATTCAGGGATTATTTCTGCTTTCTCCTATCAGTGCTCTTCTCCAGGATAGGAGACCATGAGGTGTTTCTGTTTGTTTCTCTGACTTTTGCCCGAGAGAGTCAAGAGAAATACTTCCAAGCAATATGAGCTCCAGGCCCTCCTGCCTTTTCTCCACAGCTGCCTCCTGCTGTGAGAGTCTGCTGCTTTGGAGTCTCGCATATCAGACCGCGAGTTCCTCTGACCATGTCAAGCTATCTCTGTATTGCAGGGCAAATGTGTAGCCATCCATCTCACTTTACCATTATGTTTAGGTACCTATGAAAAATGCATAGACTTGGAGAGCATTCTATTAAAAGAATACGTGACGCTTCTTTACCTCCCCTGCTATTAAAGGGATGCATGAAGCCTCTTTGTCTCTCTGACTGTTGGAAGAGTTGGGTTGAAAGGATCTACTGTGATCATTAAAGAAACATGAGTTTTCAAACCACACAGGTCATTGTGTTTAACAATTCTATCGATTGCTGTTATACTCAGTTCTAAGGTGTCTCCAGACAGAGACTGTTGCATTGAGTCATGTTAGAGTAAGTGAAAGTAGACTGTGTGAGGGCTGCATTTTGGGGCAAGCCAAACTTACTGATTAGACTGTAGCAATGTTACAAGAACAAGGAGAGTGCCTGATAAAGGGTTCTTTCTATTCACATTTTATTCTCTTTCTCTCACTTTGAAAGAGGTTGTACTGAAACTGTTTCATGTATCAGCATGATGTAAAACACAACTGAAAAGCAATGCAGCAAGTGTCAGATGGCTGGGCTGACGGCATGGAAGAGGGGTTCACTACACATCTGAATTTCCATGCTTCCTAGCTTATCTCTGTAACTTCAGGATTTCTTCCTCCAGCCTGTACTGGACTTTTCTCGTACTTACTGAGCGCCAATCCTCTCAGAAACACCCAGGAGCTCATACTTCTTGTTAGTTCCCAACATGCATGTGCAGCTCTTGTCCGAATGCCATCCCTACCCCTAAGTAACATTCTTTGCCCTAAATAACCTTCTCAGAGAAGCTGATTGTAGTTGCCAAATTGCTGCTGCTAAAGCATTTACAGATCCTAAATTTAAAAATGAGTTAGGCCTAGAGTTATACCCGTTGCATAAAGAGGAAATAAACCAAAAAGTGGAAATTCTTCTAGCCATTGTTTACACTTGTGCACGCACACAGACGTATACACACGTATACACCTCGTGATGGAATCAGACAGTCTCAGACAATAAAATGTAAAGCAGAAGGAACCAGAGGATGCAGATAAACACCAGTTACCTTCATGCTTTTCAAGCATACAAGGGCCTTGCAAATGGCAATGTTAAAGAAACACTATTATTAAGTTTATCAAGCAACTACTCTATCTGATTTTTAATTATGCAACAGACATAATATCATTAATTTCAGGAGAAGACTGACAAAAACAGGGGAGAGGAAGGGGAAAGAATTAGGAGACCCTTTCAAATATTCACACTTATAACCTAAACTGATAACGGATTCAATTTGTGAAAAAATTACATTATCTGATATCCTGAATTTTCAAGGAATGCAAAACTTGGCCAAGTAGATTAATCTGTATATAAAATATTTGCATTCATAACAATGCCAAAACAATTAAAGGACTGTATCTGTGTTTAGCATTTAGCATCCAAAAAATCCCCAATTACTAAATGCCTATATAGATTAGAAGTACAGAATTTAATAATTATATTCTTTAATGATTTATTTATGCCTTAGAGTGTCATCCATAGGGAGATGGGCTTTTGAATAGAAGGAAACCCCTAAAAGTGATGTTTGTGCAAGGGTGGGCCAAAGCGTGGTGTCATGTGCTTTCAGGATGACAGTCACCCAGATGTGCATAGAGATATGCTCATAAACCACTGCACCTCAGCTTCTGAAGTAGAAACAGGAGTGTGGGGAAATACATGTAGGAGAGAAGTAGAATGGAGAGGATTAGAAATGGTGGCCATGGAAAGAGGGAAGAAGTTGCATCCAATGGCTTGGCATAGAA